CTTCATGCTTTTGTAAAAAATAACAGAAATAAAAAGTGGCAGAGAATCCAAAAATGGGTAAAAATAATGATAAATTCTGTATTTTTTACTTGTATTCAAATCAATATTAAAATAGAATCTAGATATTGTTTTCATCTAGCAAATACTCTGGAAATTCGATATCTTTATACTTTTTTTTTGTATATCGTGTGCAACGTGAGGAGAAAAAAATAAGGATATTATTATTAAATTATATACTAGTAGCAATGTGATATTTAACATTGAGCTCGAAAGGAAAGCCTAAATTTTTTTAAATATTAAGTAATTTATATTAAATAACAAGTAAATAATACTTATGATTAATTTTTAGATAGTATACACCCAGAGTTTCCCAGACAAATACTTGTCAGGTTGGTATGAGTTTAAAGCTACAGCACTGGGCTCCAGTATAAGCAACAGAGGAAAATTCACATTAGATCTTTGTAAGACAGCATTCCATACTACTACCTTATCTTCAAACAATTTAGATATGATACATAGATATGATATAATTATATTACCATTTTTCTTCTTAGACGATCTCGTTCAAACGACAGTCATCACCAGAAGACCAGGGGAAAAGATTCAAGTCAGTGTGAATGTACAAAAGATCAGGGATTTGAAGCTTCATATCTCAAATTTGCTGTACGGACATAAAATGCTGGAAAACATACTTGACAAAATAATAAATGGCACGTGGCAGCCAGGATTCGTGGTTACCAGACGTATAATCAACGATCTTGTCTCTGCCGCGTTTACAGAGGGCTTTCACAAGTCTTTTTACAATTTTCCTTTCGAGAAAATTATCAAACCGAAACCTAACACCGGTTGATGAGAATTTTGATTCAAAAATGGCACGATAATGAACAAAAGCATTTTGGCGAATTCGCCATTCTTCGAAGAATTTTTTATCCAATTCTCGTTTAATTATGATACATATGAATTTTAGATTTGAAAGTTACATTTTTTGAAGAAAGTTTGACGTTTCTACCGGATATCTTGCATTACTCAATTTATTCAATTGTCGAGGTGCGTCAATTGCCTCGAATTTAAAAGGAGCCTCGAAGAAGACTATTCTGAAAAATACTCATTTATTATTCATAGATATAATTTTTATACCTATTATTTTTTAAATGATACAAAAATGATAAGACTTGCATAAATATAAAAAAAGGAAAGGATATAAATTCGATCCTCGAAATGTCAGAAAGATACATGAAAATCAACTAAATGCTTATTCTAATTCAGAGGAGTTTCGAAATAATTAGTATTTATTGAGAAAAAAACATCTTTGACAAGTGATGACGAAACTAAACGACTTATTATGCAACGAATAATGAATATTGAAAAAGACGAGATGTATTCATTACGTAAAAAGACGCTGCGATCTTCGTAGAATTAATCGCTCATGACTATTCATGATTATTTATTTTGCGAATATTTTCCTCATTTTTGTGAAGTTTTCTTTCATACAGAGTAAATCACGAATTATATATTTGGCAATAGGATACATTTCTGCAGTATATGAAGCTGAAGAAATGCTGATTTCACGATAATTAGCAAACGAAAAAAAGAAGATAGATTTATAGTGATTTCTTTGCAACGAAGCTTCTTACTTATTCTTGGTCACTTTGGAAACATTGTTTTAATCTTTTGTCAAAATATTTAACGACAGATATTCAGAATTTTAACAATTTTAATTATTCTTTTCCTCAAATGTTTTCGTGTTCTTTATAATTCAATGCAATTATTAATTAGATTCGTTTGAACTGAATTCTTATTTTTATATTCAGCGGAGTTTATTATGTACTTCTTATAGACTTGTCGTATATTTGCCAAACATTTGAGATAAATTTCACTTTTAAATTTAATTTAAATTAAATTGATTTACTTTAAATTCTTGCAAAATAAGAAGATATTCTGCAAGATATTCAAATTATGATCTTATTTAATCCATTGAGGACTAAAAATATAACCAACTTTTATTTACAATTAATTTATACTATCAAATTCTATTTTTTTAAATACTAAAACGGCGAAAGAAAGATTCTAAGAATCAATCTTGAAATAGTATTGCTGGATTGTAATAATTTGTTTTGTCACACTATTTTCAATATTCAATTTTATTCTTTATTTCACATTCACTGTGATAGAGATACAATTAAATTAAAAATTCTGAAATTATTTAAAAATTTTCTAGGCCTTCAATGACGCTAATTAATATTTTTGTCTCCATTAAATCTTCATAATTCCACCAAATTTCAAATGTTATGACGATCTCTCGATTCTGAGCATCATAGATAAAATAAACAAACTAACTTTTCAGAGACATTTCAACGCGAAACTTTTGATTCGTTCGAACTGAGAAAAAAGATGGCGTCAAAGGGGAGAAACAGTATACGTGGAATGCAAAGATTCGCGAGATATGTCTATTCTGTTCATATCCTTCATCTTTGATAACATCTTCGTGCGATAGGACTACACAATTGGCTTTTTTACGATGGCAAATTACGATTCAAGGGCTTCTCAGAAATCGTGATCTTCTCTTCTTCCGTTCGTACTAACGAACGTAACGAAGCGAGCACGAGACTTTCTTCTTCTGTCGGAATAGCCGTTCGCCTTGAGAGGCTGACGGTCTCTGACCTCGCATTCTCTCGTGATGCATCGGCTCTCATCGAACATTGTCGATAATTTGTATCGAATGGAGTTAGATAACAGGGAAAATGGCTGTCTCATTGTTCCCTTTGTGACAAAGAATAAGTAAATACATCGTCATCATCCAATGTGCTTATTCAGTGGATCAAAATCATGGATCAGGGATTAATTCAAATAGTCACGTTTTTTTCTACAATGGATCACGAAAGTAATTGAACACTGTTCGCAGGAAAAATTTTATGTATATATCATATACGTATGTAGTATTATATAAAACATTCGAAAAAATTATTATCATTGTGATGAGAAACCGTCAATATAATTATATTGAACATGTGTTTATTGAAGATTATTTTGCCAGTTAAATATTATACTCTGTATATTTTGTATATTTTCTTATATTACGTGCAATTCTGCAAAAATTTCACGTTAAAATTTCCTATGAATGTCTGTTGTCTGCGGCTATTTCATTTTTGTGAAATATGTACGAACTTATTTATATTAAATAATTTGTAATTTCTATATTTCTATGTTTTATTCATACATATATGTTTTATACAACACACAGAAAGTTGTCATAAATTGTTTCGAATGTATTCGTGAGCGATTGTACATAGAAATGTGAGTTATTCATCTAAAAAATTAACGCTTGAAATACGAGAATGAAAATATCGATGTTAACACGATTCTATTAAGAACCATTAAGATCCTTAAGATGTCAAATATTCTGAACACGTTGTTTCTACGTCTAACATGACATCGAACGAAAGCATTACGGTTCATAATACTCGATCGATGATCGATTCTTATCGTGAGCACGAGTTACGGTGCTTATTAACGGTGCTTAACATTCATTGCTAAACGTACGAACTTCTCTGACGTCCAGCATTCACATCCGCTTATTTTCGTCGTACCTTGTCCAAATTTTTATTGTTCATTATAGTATACGTTTTGTGTTTAATCCATTGTGTCGAGTGAACAATGTCAATCGCATCGCATGTTTCAATAAAATCCAAGTATCCTACAATTTTCAAATAATTTTTCGACCATTTGTATCCCATATTTTTAATGAAGTTACTTTATACTTTCAATGAAGGAAGTAATTTTTTACTTTTTAAACTTTCTTTTTCTGTTCTTTTTTTTTTGGAAATTAGGATTGTTATATTAGGTGGGCGAAACAAGAAATTCTTGAAGAATT